GACTTTATGCATGTGGAGAGTGGTATATGGAAACTCAATCCTCTCTGCTAAATTTTTCTATGAATTTAAACTTAAAAATAAGGTCTATTTTGAAAATAGCAGTGTATTACTGTAAAAGAACTCTTTTGACTTAACACCTTTTCAATTCTTTCATAATTATCAAATAAAACACAAAATTGAGTGGTCTTCTGAGATGTATCTCTAGACTAGAGGTCCATGGTCCTGAGTGTAAGGATCTATACCATTTATTTGACATTTTAATATATATACCCATAATTGTTACTTAGCTCTTTCATGTTTGTATCATTTTTTCTAATGATGTTACAAATGCTTCAAGAAATGTTTCTTTTTCTATTTTCAAAGTATATGTTTCAGAAGATAAGTTATAATTTTATAAAAATAGGAAATATCTTTTAGTTGAGGAATAAAAAAAAATTTCACTAAAATGAAAAGACTTTGAGCTGAGTCACAAAGAAAGGGTAGGATTTGATTAAAGCCTTCCAGAAAGATGGCATTAACTTAGGGTCAGAGGAGGGAGAAAGGAGGGAATATGTGGGAGGAGGGAGTGGTATGGTTTCATTGGAGAATTGGACATTGTAATAGAGAAATAGATGATATTTTAGGTTAGGATGAAGAAATAAATTCTATCAGAGTTTAGGGAAACACTGTATGCCAGGCTAAATGGTTTAGACTTAATGTGGTAGAGTTGAGTGGGAACCACTGAGGTTTTTGACTAGGTAAGTATAATTAATTATCACAGGTGTATTTTAAGAGAATTAATCTGGCAGCAATATATAAAATGAATAGAAGGAAAAAGGAGACTGGGAGGATTTTGATGGTACATGGACGGGAGTTGGTATCTCAGCTCTGCCAGTTAGTGTATTATTAGGAAAGTTATCTCAAATCCTCTGTCAAACCTTTCAAACCACCTTTAAGGTTGGAAGGATTAAATGAGATCATGGGCAGTACCTGGGCCAGAGTTTTACTTTCAGTGAATGATAACAATTAAGGATACTGAAAGGTATAAATATTCCCTGGGGCTGTATAGGAACAACAACATCAAACATCAATATAAGCCAGGCATAGTGATGTTTGCCTGTAATCTCAGGTACTTGGGATGCTGAGGCAGAAGGATTGCAAGTTTGAGGTCAGTCTTAGCAATTTAGCAAAACCATGTCTCAAAATCAAATTTTAAAAAGGACCAGGCATGGGGGCTGGGGTTGTGGCTTAGCAGTAGAGCACTTGCCCAGCATATGCAGGGTGCTGGGTTCAATCCTCAGCACCACCTAAAAATAAATACATACATACATACATAAATAAAATAAAGGTATTGTGTCATCTCTCTCTCTCTCTCTCTCTCTCTCTC